CAGATCTTCTCTGGAACTCAAAACACTGAATTTCTCAAGACACTGGACAGAAATAATCATAACTTTCAGATATACAAATCATTCTGGCAATAGATTTTCCAAAAGCAAAGGATCCAGGATTCTTTCTTGGTTAGGCAAATCTAAGTGATGACACAGAGAAGCACCAGGACGTCTGTGTCTGTCATGGTAGAGGGTTACACTTGCACTTCTTGGTCCAAGTGTTTTCAGGTGCAGTTGAAGCTCAGAGCTTGATTATTTCCTCTCCACAAACAGAGGCACTTTCGGCATCTGGCAACATGGATTTCATGACCACAAAGTAAAAAATGAAATAATGCACATACCAAAACATAAACACATTGTAAAGTGCATTCAGCCTCAGATTCCAAACCCAGCGACCCTGCATGATTTAACAAAGGGGAAAGCCAGACTCCTGTCCCAGTGGGGAGAAGCTAGGCCTCCAAACTGACAGCTGCTATCATTCCAAAACAAGTCATTGTTTATAAATGAATATTCTTTGTGATAAATTATTGAATTACATGAAAATTCTATGATTGCCTGCCACTGCCAAATTTGGTTTTGTCTCAGAAGCCAGCATGGAATGTACTACAAACAGAGAGCAAAATTAAAAACTGATGGTCTTTTCTAAGGAAATTCTCCTCTGGACTCTGTTCCCCTCCCAAACCTGTAATACTGGTCCTGGCTTTGAATACCAGAAGACTCTTCAGAGCATTTATAATATAGAGAGCTTTAGGTTAGAGACACTTTGACTTATTCTGAGAAAAAAAATGTTGGTATTAATTGCAGCTCAGGAAATACTTTATGATTAGGACTCAAGGTCTAAAAGCCAAAGGTACATGACTTTGCATAAGTATTTTTTTGTTACGTTCCTTACACATTTATCTTATTTAATCCTCATAATAACCCTGAGAGGTCATTATTATACCCATTTTATGGTGAAAACCTAATGCACACAGAGGTGAAGTGATTTGCCTTAATTCATACAGCAGTAAAACAAGAATGCCAAATTTGGCACCAGGCATTTCATTCCAAAACTCCTAGCGTTTCCTCAGTAGCAAACTGGTTCCTACAATGCTTAAAAATAATGCAGTTCTGTGCTAGAAATTACAGAATAGTACTGTACTATTTTCTAAGCTCTCAAATTTATTCCTTGTATACTATCTTTTAAGTGGCCTGCTTTAGAAAAAAAAAGTCACATTGAAGATGAAAAAAATATCACTCTCTTCTTTTGTTTTGGAACTGGATTCTCCTAATCTTTACCATCCTGTGTTCCCAGGGAAAATCAATTAATTCTACTCTAATTATCAGGACTCAGAAACAGTAACATTGACTTTTGACCCCCATTTCACTCCTCATTCATTTATATATATATAAATTTCAGCCCCTTCGTGTGCAAGGGGGATAATAAGACTTGCCCCAGCTGTTGTTGAAATGCTCAAATGATAAAATGTCAGGAAAAGCATTTGTAGCTCAGAAAACTCATATCTATATAATTATTATGTCCCAGACTTTTGATAGTTCAATGAGAAAGAGGAAGATTTTTTAGAAATAATAGTCTATTATTAGCCAGTGATCTACTAGTAGGCAGGATCTCTTTTAAAAACAGTGACAAATGACAACAGATTTTTAGCATTTGCCAATTTCCATAGTATGTACTCCCATCAAGGTGAATTTCAAACTACTGACATGTCATCACTGAGCACTGAGGTGGGAAGAGACCACAATCAACTCCCATAATCTAGTACAAACCAGATCTAGCACACTAGGCACCCTAACTGAATTTTAAAAGAGGAGAATCTTTTTTTAAAGCACTAGCGAACCTAGAGCAAGGACTGTGAAATGCCCAAAGTGTACTTCCCCTCTTTGTGCATTCTTTTAGTGGTAACAAGACCATGCCTCTGGACTAGTATGGAAAGCCCAGATCCCTATGGACCCTTGTACAGAATCCAATCAAACAAACCCTGCCATTTGTCACTTTGACCCCAGTCTGAGGAGTGTCTGCCTCATATAGAATTGGTGTGTTGCCCAGTAGGGGAAAAAAATGTGCTCCAAGGAAATGTCAGACACTAGGTGCCAAGAACTCAATCCACCCACTCTTTCCTTGTTTACAGTATAACTGTTAGCATTCAATTTGGCTACGTATAACACAGACACAGTGGCTTAAACAAGATGAATTAGCTCTCATGTAAAAGAAGACTGGAAAGATGTCAGCCAGATCTGACCTATATCGAGGACTCAGACTCCAAGTTTTCCTCCTTCTAGTCCTTATGGCCTAAAACATTTGCTGCAGCCCCAGCCACCACATGTGAGTTCCAGGCAACAGAATGAAGAAAGGGGGGAAAATAAAGGCACATTCTCTCACCTTTAAGGAAACTTCCTAGAAGTCTCAAAAATGCTTTGCTTGTTGACTAAAAACTAATTGTTAGACCATATATAGCTACAAACATTTATGAAAATATACCAGTTTATCTTGGAGTCAATATACCTACCTAAATATCACATTCTTTTATTAAGATGGAAGAGAGAACAGATGTTGGGATGGGCAACAAACAGTCTCTGATACATGTTTACTCACACTGGCATACTAATTCATCAGAGGGTAGAGAAAGAAAAGTACTCTTCTTTCTTCTACCTAAAGCTGAGCAGTCTCTTCTTCCCATTCATCTGCTGTGGGTAGGATGAAAAGTTAGCAGTCTATGGGTAATTCAAACTGCATATTCACTGAGGGCCAACTTAAGAGGAACTATATTTCTGGAATGGAAGTGTCAAAGGCTTATAATGCTCTGATTCTCATTAATTGGAAGATAACAGTCATATGTCATTACTAATGTTATGGAAGGTGATGGTAGATGGAATTTCCTGTCTCCCTAAGTAAATTGTCTAAATGTAGCTATATAATTTAGCTACTTTGATGAAAGTGAGATATGTATCTGACTTTAGCTAATGCTGCATAAATGGGGGGAAAGTCTTCCTTCCACATATCACTCATATAGATTCTTTGAAGCATAGAAGTTTATTGTAGGCATTCCATTAAAAAAAAAATCTTATTTGGGCATGAAATCTTCTACCTGTACAACTCACATCTTGCTCCTATTGGAACTTATAACGAACTAGTCAGACATCAAGGACACTTGCCCCAACTCCTCTAAGGAAGAAATGTCATCCAGCTAAACAAGGCTCTTCATCTCTCTTTTTCCCAAAATGATATGGGTGCAAGAGCAAAGACATGTCATTCAACAGAAAAGCTTTCCAGTGACAAATGCAAAAGCCACATAAGCATACAAAGGCACACATGAGAACAGAGATGCCCATCCTATTGAGCCTAAGTACATTTGCAGATTATCAAACCCTGTGCAGAGATGAAGTGTGTCCTGACAACATCTGCCCGCTCCTATACCCATTTATCTTGGAGTCAACATCCCTACCTAAATATTTTAGACCAGAAGAAAAATAAGTGCTAGTAGACATTGAACTTAAATATCCAATTTTCACTTTGTTTTAATTGTATTCAATGTATTGTTCCATGACCAGTCAGATACACCAATTCCTTTCATCTGCATTCAGTCCTAACAAGCTTAAGTCTTTAACTTTCTAGATTTTAGCCGTCTATTAGATAACAGAAGGCAGGGACCCAGTCCTGAAATTGATTTAGTCATTACTTGATTCTTGGCCTTTGGCCCTGCAGTTATTCTTTCATTTATTCATTTCTTCTACTCAGCAAACCCAGGACCACACTAGGGCTACCTCAGTGAGCAAGTTATTCCCAGACTCTGCTCTCAGGAAAGTGTGGCATGAGAGGAAAGACCACCACTGAACAAAGTGGCAACAGAGATAGTGGGGACCAGAAAGAGAGGAAAGGAAAGGGAAGGACTCCATTAAGCAGAACTTAAAGTCCATCACAGGAATTTTGGAATTTGGGGCTTTACCCAGAGGGCAATGGGAAGCTATTTAAATGTTCCTTTTTATTTTTCTTACTTTCTTTTTCTTTTTTTTTTTTTTGGTACCGAGGATTGAACCCAGGGGTGCTTAACCATCGAGCCACATCCCCAGCCCTATTTTGTATTTTATTTAGAGACAGGGTCTTGCTGAGTCGCTTAGGACCTTGATAAGTTGCTGAGGCTGGCTTTGAACTCATAATATCCTGCCTCAGCCTCCCGAGCTGCTGGGGCTTTAAGTGTTTTAAAGAAAGATGTTATATGATCAGATTTGCAACCTAGAAAGATTATCTGACACCAGAATAAAGAAAGTATTTGGACAGAAATAAGGACAGATATTAGGGACGAATTATGAGATTATTGTGACTTTTCAGGTTAGAGGTGATGGAGATTTTAGTAAGCATAGTGTCCACAGAAATAGAACTGAATCAATGTATGGTGATGTTGAATATGGACGGAGTCAAGCACAGAAAGGTCACAGTGCATGAGCATCCTCATCTTCAGCAGCACCAGCTAAGCGCAGCCTAGTACAGGTGAAAATCTCAGGAAAGGTATTGAACCTCTTGTACATACTCTTTCTAGACTAAAAGAATTCCAGTGGCACCCAAGATCAAACTGCCAATCTTGCAGAAATAAGCATTCAGAGGAAGTTTGAAACTCAGGAACAGAGATACAAAAATCATATGCCCCAGGACCCTTCCTGCTGTGATTGACTCTGGGTAAGTGACTCACTGTGAGCCCACAGACTGAAGACAGAGAGCTACTTACTCTGTTTCAAAAGACAGTGTTTTTTAGTTGCATCAAAGATCACTTTCTTCCGCCTGCCAGGGCTGTGAGTCCGGAGGCAATGTCAGCCTTGGGTGATACTTTTCTCTCCCCAGACCAGGTTCCCCACTTTAATCACTGCTGCTCAGAGAAACCCCACCTGGGATGACCCTGTCCGTCAGATGTTTCTGGATGGAATATTAGAATCCTTTTGATGTTTTTCCTTCAAGTCATTTGGATACATCACCTCTTGGTGAGTTGGAGTTTAAGAAAAAAACTTACCAGCTTTCCCTGAAATGGGCAACGGGTTCCAAAGAAGTAGCTTAGATTCTGGTGGGAGGACTGGGCTGTGTTCAGTGTAGGTTTTTCAGACCAGGAGCAACAGGGAGTTTCAGGTCTCACTCAGACACTAAAATTGAGAAATGGAGTTTAGCTTTTAGCCTTGACTGATCAGTTCATAAGAACCTTCCCACCTAGAGAAGACTTTTCCTTTGCATTACATACAGAAACCATCTTTGGACCAGGAAAATCTGCCCAGTTAATATCAAAGAAAATATAGATAACCTCTACTTGTCTAAAATACAACACAAACTACAACATAACACACGCATCACTAAAGACACAGGCCACCACCACCACCACCCCCAAAAAGGTGTTCTCACTTCAAATTTTCTATGTAGGTTGGCTAAAGCCAGGCCCTGGAATGTTAATCAGGATCTGATCACAACTAATGAACCAGAAATTATGAAATGCTTCATGTTACCAGTCATTTAAACTAGATAGTTAAAAGTCCAGTTATGGTTAGGTTCAAAACTGAGTCTTCAATCTAATATATTTATTGCAAGTAACACTGAACATTCAAGTATCCTTATTTTAAATCTAAATGACACCATGTTTTGTATGCATTTCCTGGATCTTTGAGTCATGCAGCAGCTGAATCTGTCATCTCTCTTCCTCATGTGGGCATATTCAAAGTGACACCTCCTACTATGTCACCATACCTGGGAGAAAATAGGGAGTTTGGTTGCCACCCACTGTTTCACATTAGAAGAATTTAGTCTGAGAATCTGATACAGAGCCGGTGACCCAGCGGCCTGGGCTGTAAGAGGGTAGAATCCCAGGGTCACGGTTGTTCCTGTTTTGTTCAGTTTTGATCTGTTTTCTTCATAAAACCATTTTATTTTCCTTGGTCCATAATTACGCTACTTCTTTTTTCCTAGAAGTACCCACTGGGGAATGTGCACAAAACATGGAGATACAAACACAAACCAGAGCTAAGAAGGGCCCATGTCCCTTGACATCAAAGTTTTTATAAAGAAAAATACACAAAGGCAGTCACGCCTCACTCTGGCTTCCTGGTAACCCCAGAAAAAAATTCCAGAAATGCATTTTAATTCTTCAGTCTGAGTGACAAAAAAGGTTAAATTGTTTCCCAAAGTCCACTTAAGAATAATCCTGACCTTGGGAAAATGGATTTTGTTACCCCCCCCCAACCTATTAAGATTAATGGCAAGAGGGGCTCATTATTCTGCCAGAAAAATCTACTTACAAATCTAAGAGGGGATTTTATTCTGTCCATTTCAAAGAGCAGGGAACTTAGAGTGACCAGCCAGCGCCCACTAGAATGAGGTACACTGCATGCAGACTGCAGGGGTCCATGACCAGCTGGGATCCACACTTAGAGCGGTATTGTGTAGGTCAAGAAGAGAGTTCTTAGATGGGATTTCTTACATAAATAGTTCACCCTGCTCTCAGCTATGAAAACCACCACCCTGGTCACATAACCATATTTAGAAAACAAATCCTCATTTAAGAGAGAAACAACTGTTGACTTTGCGGTCTCTTGGCAGCCCAGAACCACTGCTCCCATTCAAGTGGTCAGTCATTACAGTGACCCCACCACATCTCAACTCCTACTGCCCCTGCTTCTGCCACTGCTGATCAACTGCTTTCTCATAAGCCTAGAATGGACAGTCAAAGTGAGGATCCAGCAATCTGCTCCCTCAAAATGCCCAGTCCTCTCTAGGGCAGCAGTCCTGGGTTGGCTGCCCTTCAGGAGAGCATTCAATGGGTGGGTGAATTTTGGCCAAGTGTCCATCCCTGGCTATCTTGGCAGTGTAGAGCAGAGCACTGAAGCCTGTTGCTAAGAGACAGGAATTCCCAGACTCAGAGATGGCTAGACAAGAACTCTGGCTTTGATTATCAACTCATGGAATTGATGGAGGAAAATAGACAGGAGCCTTCTAAGTTCTTAAGGAATTTGATTCAGCCTAAGAAACCCAAGCCTAGCTGAGAACAGCCTGTGATTACTCAACCCCTGAGGCACTTCCCAGGCCCCCAAATTTGCACCAAAAAAAAAAAAAAAAAATACTGGGCTCCAAATAAATACAGATTTCAGAAAGGGCTTATGCACCAATTCCATCTCAGATGGCCAAGGACAACGGACAAAGGAGATCCTTCCAGAAAGTACAACTAGGATTTGACTGGCTAAAGAATTCATTCCCATTGCATTGCCATGACAAGGACACTTGACTGTTCTTGTCAAGCAGGATGTGACATATGCAGTCAAACAATGGCCAATGTGTATTAACTCACTGTTCATTTTTTCGAACAAAATTTCCTTGAAGTTCTCCTCCACCATTCTATCATTCTATATTTACAGGTTTTTTAATAGAAAGTGGTACAGGCTTGTCCACTGCAATGGAAAGATCTAAAAACACAGTGGCTCAAAGTCAGGAGTTTCTCTTTCATGTAACAGTCTAGAGCAACACTCTGCTAAAGAAATGTAAATTCGAGTGTAATTTCAAATTCTCTAGTATCCACATTCAAAAATAGATGAGATTAATTTAACAATACATCTCATTTAAATTAGTATGTCCCAAATATCATTTCAACATGCAATTAATATAAAATATTATTGAAGTATTTTACTTTTTTTGTACTAATCTATAGCCCATCTCAATTCAAATTAGCCACTGCAAGCGCTCAATGACCATATGTGGCTGGTGGCTGCCATTTTGGAGGACAGACCAAGACAAGTGGACAGTTCTCTATAGATTGGCCAGGGAATCCAGATGTATTTCATTATCCCACCAGCCCTTAGATATGGATTTTTGAAACTGAACATTATTTACTTCTGAGATCATGTAAATCTTATCATAGGGGGGCTATATAATGCCTTGTAGAATATTTCAGTGTACTGATCCCCTCCTCCCTTGATGCCCACAGCACCACTTCCCCTCCAGTTACATTGTGACAACTGAAAATACTGCCAAATGTTGAGAGGTATGAAGCAACAAGTCACCCCTGAAAGTGGTTCTCTAACTGAACTATGTATTAGAATGTCCTGGAGATTTTGTTGAAACAGAGGTTTCTGGGCTCCCAATGCTATAGTTTCTAACTCAGTAGGTCTGGGTGGGACCCAAAATATGCATTGCTAATACTTTCCCTGAGCTTCTGGTCCAAGACCACTCTGAGAACCACTGCCCTGGTTAATGTGATCCTCTGTCTGGCAAGCTCAGCACCACAAGGCAAGGGCATTCTCACTCCCCGGGAGTGGGACAGAGAGGAAATAAAGGACAAATAATATATTTTAAGGGTGCAATTGGGAGGTTGCATGTGTGCCTTTTGGTCACCTCCCTTTGTTGAGAATTCAATCATGGCCACAACTACTTAAGGAGCAGATGCAAAGGAGGGTGACACATGTAGCATCTAACTGGGTAGCATATGCCCAGCTACACCTCAGGAGTTCTACTATGAAAGAAAGAATGGATAATGAGGCATAATTTTCAGGCTCTTCCAAGCAGTGGGTAATAATATTTAGTTCTAACTTACCAGATTGTGAACAGCTACATCTGGAAACTTAACTAGAGGAAGACAGATCAGCCACAATCCCTTGAAGAAGAGATGTATGAGGTTCAGGTAAGTATGAACTTTTAAAGATATGTGTTTGGCAAGAAGGCAGTATGTGGTATGGTAAGATACCAGAGGAGTAGCTTTTCCAGTGGATTGTCTCCTCAGTTTTCATTCCTCCCCCCATTTCTAATAAGACAAGAAATTCCCCAGCTTTGTGATTTGAGAAATTTTAACTCCACTCTCTAGCCACAAAGGTTAGCCCTGATAGGCCTAAGCCAACCAAGGAATCAGATTTCTCTAGTCATAGTGATGGGTTTAAGGATGAGCCCATGACCTCAAATGGTTCAACCAGAGGGGACTCCATAGTGATTGTTGGGCATCTGGGGCAGGAGAAACTATCTTCCCTGCAGTGTGTCAGTGAGGAAACCATGGCCCTGGAGCAGATGGCAATCACATGACAAAAAAAAAAGCCAACCCAAGGATGAAGCCAAAACCAGAAGGGCAGAACCAAGAGAATCCCAGCAAAGTGGACCTGCAACCTCGATGACATTCTGAACCCCTGGATGGAACCACCCTGATGTCTCACTTCTGGGATTTTTAAATAAGCCAAAACATTTATCATCTTACAAATCAACATAAGATTTAAGATTTCATCACTTTTAACCAGAAGTAATCCCAAGAACAGTTTGACCTGAATGTGTTTTCCTTTTTGGTACCTAAAGGCATTTAATAAAGGCAAGAGCAAGTTCATCTCCTGAGCGCCTACCATAAGCACCTCACTGTGTAAGCCCTTGGCCTGCATTAACTCACCAACATTTCACAATAACCCTGAGGGTAACTATAAATCAGAGAATTGAGACTCAACAAGATTAACCAACCTTCCCAGTATCACTCTGAGAATGTGACTGAACCAAAAAGTGAGCCCTTCTGACTCTAAGTCCAAAGCCTTTTCTACAACTTTGGCCTCATGTGTTATTTTTTGAACCATGTATATAAATAACAAAGGTTTATATGTTTACTCAAACTCCACGTGGAAAACTATCCTGACTTTTGAAAATCTGATTCAATGATCAAAAACACATGTAGAATATTAGTTAGAAGGTGGTGTAGACTGTAGTAGGGTTTTATAGGCATCTTGGGTAGGTCCTTCAGAGTAATTGGGATGTGGAATGTGGAAGTCATTTTTATGGGAAAGTTGGGGCATGGCCTCCTGTAGGCAGCCTCAGGCAAAAGAGTGAGTATATCAAGAAAAAAAACCACATTGAACCTGGTGATAAGGTTCACGAGGATGTTAATTAAAGGAATTCTCATATTTCAAGGCTATATTGGTGATATCTTTTCAGGCAATGGCATGTGACTAGTACACGACAGAACTACAAGCTTTTACCCCAAGATGTCAGTATTCTTTTGAAAATAGTATGTATGGTTTAAAAACTCTCCACAGAATTCCTCTCTTGCTCACTTACCTTATTATAATGCTCATGCTTCTTCTCAAATACTCTCGCTTCACTACCAATGTGGGGAGATATCTGGACAGTGGTCACTCCAACCCACAGTTTCAGTTACCTGTAGGCAACTGTGATCTAAAAAAAATAATATTTGTCTTGACTCAGACTTGTCTTAAAGATCAAAAGAGAGACCACATGTGATACTTCAACTTTAGTATAATTGTTCTATTGTCTTATTAACTATTGTTGTTGATCTCTTATTGTGCCTAATTTATAAATTAAACTTTATCATAGGCATGTATGTATAGGAAAAACATAATATGTACAGGGTTTGATACTTGGAACTTATTTCCTATGGATAAGGGGAGACTACTATATTATATTGCTTGAGGAAAACAAAGTTTGACTAACCATGCTATGTTTGCAAATTCAAAAGCCTATTATCTGCATGTTATTCACAATGACTGCTGTTGGATTAAAAATAAGAATTATTTCCAGGCACAGTGGTGCATGCCCATAGTCCCAGCAATTCAGGAGGCTGACACAGGAGGATAACAGGTTTGAGGGCAGACTTAGCAACTTAGCAAGACCCTCAGCAACTTAGTGAGACCCTGTCTCAAAATAAAAAATGCAAAGGTCTTGGGATGCAGCTCAATGGAAAAGTGCCCCTGGGTTCAGGCTTCAGTAGCAAAAAAAAAAAAAAAAAAAAGAAATTATTTATTTTATATCCAATTACTAACACTGGGTTTGTCCTTTGAATTGAAATAAACAGTTGATCCATTCCCTAAAAATCAGAGAAAACAACATGCCTTTTGCCTCACTTTCTATTTTTACATCCATAGGTCCCATTTTCCTTAAAACAGTTTACATGAAAAGGGTCCCCAGAACTTCCAAAAGTGGCTTACAGAGCTGCTGCTTCCCTGATGTTCTCCTGATGATAAATTCAATTCAGACTCGACTTGGGCAAGAAGCCCTTTGAAGATGCTGCTTTTACCACCAAAACATGCACATAATGATGTCATAAATAAGTGCTAAATGTTAGTGGAAGTGGGATTCTTTCACATCAAGCACTATCTGTAAAGTAGATTTAATGCCTTTGCCATCTCATTTGTGTTCTTAATTTTCTCTTATGAAATGAAATGTATTAAAGTGTTTTTTCAGGCACCCTGATTTTGACATTCAATTTAAAAAGTTTCCTATATAATTATGCTACTTTCCCCCTCCTGGCCTATTGCAGGGGTTATTTAAAATTTAAATGCTTAGGGGAGAGAGGGAAGGAGGAGGGACATGGGGGCAGGAAAGACAATGGAATGAGATGGACATTATTACCCTAGGTACATGTTTGACTGCACATATGGTGCAATGCTACATTGTGCACAACCAGAGAAATGAAAAGTTGTGCTGCAACTATGTACAATGAATCAAAATGCATTCCGCTATCATATATACCTAATTAAAATAAATAAATTAATTTTACATAAATAAAAAAATCTAAATGCTTACTAGCCCAGTTTCCCTTCATGAGTTCTCAGCTAAACCACATTTTTCCCACCTCCCTTATCCCAAAATGATGCCATATGAACAATCTTTACCACTGACATTATGTGTGCAAGTAGCATGCCACTACTGAATGGAGGCTACTATGATCATGGCCTTCCTTTCTACCTACTCTTTCTTTGTTTGTTGGACAATCAGATGTGGCATATTCAGCAAAGGGTCTGAGATCTGAGGGGATAGGAAGCCACTAGAATCAAGAAGCCTGGATCCCTAAATGACAGTGTGGAACACAGCATCCCTCCCTCCAACCCCACTGATCCACATTAGTTTTAACCATGAACAAGAAAGGAATCCTTGTTAGAATAGCATCTGAAATTTGGGGGCTGTTTGCTGTAGCTTACCTACATAGAATAATTTGTTGTCCTATTGAGAAAGTACTTTATTATTGTACAGTGCCCATGGAAGCGCAAAAGCATGCCAGTCATCAATTAACTAAGCAAGCCATAGCTTTAATCATCTCAACCATTCCACTTAGCCTTTGAGTTCATCCTGTCTTGCATTAGCTTTTTCACCCCATCTCAACTATTCTGTACCGTATCTAGCACCACTTCAAGAAGTTTATCATAGTGGTTAATGAATAATCTGTTTTGAGAGTCATTTTTACATTTGGTTGGAAAAGGGCTAGATTAGAGGAGTGAAAGGAACATTTGCTGAGAGTTCTTTCAATTCCTGATATTATGGTTTAGATATGAGGTGTCCTGCAAAATCTCATGTGTGAGACGATGCAAGAAAGCTCAAAGGTGAAATGATTGGGTTATGAGAGCTTTAAACTAATCTTTGTGCATTAATCCCTGATAGAGATTAACTGAGTAGTAACTGTAGACAGGCAGGGAATACCTAGAGGAGGTGAGCCATTGGGGATGTGCCGTTGGAGTTTATATTTTGTCCCTGGTCTGCAGATCTCTTTCTGCTTCCTGGTGGCCATGTTCTGAGCTGCTTTCTTCCACCATGATATTCTGCCTCACCTCACCTCATGCCCAGAGCAATGTAGTAGTCAGCTGTCTATCAACTGATACCTCTGAAACTGTGAACCAAAATAAACTTTTCCTCTTCTATGTTGTTCTTCTCGGGTTTGGGGGGTCATGGCAGTGAAAAAGCTACCTAAAATACTGATGCCTTCCTACTTTCAAAGTTGTAACCCTGATGTTTCTGGATACTATCATCTAGATAAGATCACCTGAAGCCTCCACTCAACACTGGAGAAACACAAACCCCCTCTGCAAATGTCCAGGGAGATTAACACTCCCATGACCATTTACAGGTCAAAATTCTTGTTCCTGCTGCTTTCAGTTCATTTACATATCATCCTTCCATCCCAGACATTCTCCACCTGGTCTATCGCACATCAACTCAAGCATGGCATTCAACTCATCCCTCAGTTTCTACTCCTCCCCAAAAATCACACTTAGAAAAGCTATTGGTGCATGTGATACACTTGATGGAAGAGTTAGCCAAAGTGAGATGATTTCATCCTAGCAATTCACTACACTGTGGTTCAGATGTTGAACGCTCCCAAAGGCCCATATGTTAAGGCTTGGTCCCCAGTGTGGCAATATTGTGAAGCAGTAAGACCTTTAAGAGGCAGGGTCCAGTGGGAGAACTTGGGGCATACCTTGAAGGGGATAGTGGGGCCCCAGGCCCCAACTTACTCTCTTTGCTCTCTGGCTCATGATGGGTGAGTTGTTTTGTGCTACCATGTGTTCTCACAACGATATACTGCCTCATCGGGACCAAAAGCAAAGGGGCCAACTGATCATATATTGCAACCTCTAAAACAATGAGTCAAAATAAATCTTTTCTCTTTGTAAGTTGATTATCTCAGGTATTTACAGTACCTAATATACCCTGTCCTTCAAGTCTCTTTGGCCCTAACCATTAGGCATTTTTCTTACAACCCCCAGATCATTTCAATAACCTCTTGTACTCCTTTTCTTTTCATCCTCTTCCTCATTTCTTTCTGTTTAGGCTACACAAACTGCCCAAACCAAATTCTTTTCACTCCATCATGGAAAGGGTCCAGCTGACCTCAGATGCTACTGCCTCCGGCTCCAGGTATACTTTTGAACATAGTCACCCAGAATCAGCTGACCCAAAGGGACTCCCCTTCAGTGAAAGGCAGCCTTCCTAGAAAGTTATTATGGCTTACATATATTTCCTCCATTGCCCACATAAATGCATATAATAAGAAAACCACAAGCCTCTGCACTACTAAACCCAATGATGCATTCTCACGTCTCGTCCTCCTTGACTTTCCAATAGCACTCGACCCTAGTCAGTCCCTCCCTCCTCTCTGAACACTTTCCTCGTTTGGCTTCCTGGATATTGTACTCACCCCATCTTCTTCCTGCCTCCTCTGCTTGCATTCCCTACCACTCTTAACTCTACATTTCAATTCTTGGATCTAATCTCTGTTTTTAAATTGAATTTATCAACATTACACTGGATATTGTTCTTGTCTGTTCTCATGGCTTTAAATACCATCTTTTTGCAAACAATTCCCAAATTCATATCTCCATGTCAGACCTCTCCCCTAAACTCCACACTCATATCTAACAGCCATTGGATATCTTTCCTTGGCATCTTAAATTTAAGAGTCCAAACATGAAGTTCTGATTTCCACTCCATGTGACAAGTTCTCCCCAAACTTTCCCCAACTCAGTAAATGCTAGCTCCTTCCCTTCTTCCTGTTGTTCCTTCTCCTTTGAATCTTTTTTTCTAATACCTCACAACCAAGTTGTTAGCAAATCAGCTTTACCTTAAAAATACAGAGAGAACCTAACCACCCCTTACCACTTCTGTTGCTGCCACCCTGATTCAAGCCACCAGCATCTCTCTTCTGGCTCTTCTCCCCATTTCTTCCTTTGGCCCTGTCCATCCTACTCTGAACACAGCAGCCAGAGTGAGCCTATTCACATATTGAAATGCATAGCCCTTCCTGATCCAAAACCCTCCCAATTTAAAGTACCTATAGTGGTCCATAACTAAAGTACTTAATCAAAGCACTTATAGTAACCCATAAAACCCTATGTGACCTGGCCTCTGTCACCTCTCAGACCTCTCTGATTATAACCCTTCTCTCCAGCCAAGGAAACAGGCTACTCTATTACTTAACTATGCCAAGTACACTCCTGCTCAGGAGTGTACTTTGTTCTTATCTCCCCTCTGCCTAAAATGCTCTTACACTCTTCACTTCGTCATTTAGATACAGCTTTCTCAAATTGCACACCTCTCTTCCCCTTGCTGCTGCATTTCCTCCTTCATACCATAGGAGATATTTGTTTGCCTTATTTATTTCCTGTCTTCCCCACTACAATATGAGCAACTACTTTTATTGATAAAGTTCCCAGTTCTATTTCCAGAGGACAAAGTAGCCTTTGTCCCTGAGCAATGGGGAGCCACAGAAGGGTTTTGATCTGAATTAAGACCCAATCCAATTGTTCTGAACATCAATATTTGCCAAAAACAACAAATCCTTTAGGAAGATATTACTAGATCCATTTCCTTAAAAAGGAAACTTAATCTTCTAAATTCTAAAAGGCCTGGCATGTAGAAGGCACTCCAAAAATATTTATAAAAAC